AAGGTATGAGGTTGATAAAACTGTAAAAATAGCATAGACTAGACCCCAATCTGGAATTAAAGCATCTAAGTGCAGTAGAAAGGATATTATTAAATTATAAACAGCTGCCCGAATGGCTCAAAATACTTTGGCTTAAAACACATATAACTTGTCCGTCAACGTGTTAGAATTACGTATGCGGTAATCGTCTATCTGTTCGAATTAGGTGGATTTACTTAAAAAAGTAACAATAAGTAAAATTTGCACATACATAAAATATAAAAGTCATCAGGGTTATATGTGGAAATTTCGGAAACAACTAATCGAATATCCTGTTAATAAACAAGAAAAATTTAATTCTAACGCTTCAGAATGCCAATATAAGGTAAGCAGGCTTGTTTTATAATAAGCAATCAGAGTAAAAGAAAAATGAATTTTGCCACTGTGGGCTAAAAAAAGAAAGCTATAAGGCACAAATATACATGATGTAGACCGGAGGCCCCTTGTCAGCTAGTGTATGGGAGAATTGGGTAAAATAATTAAATGCGATAGATATTTAAAAGAATAAACAGTAAAGCAACGCCACCATGTATTCATATAAACAAGAAAGTAAATGCAGGTATGAAATCCGAGGCAGATTCAGTATATATATCCATGAGGAGCTATGACACCGCAAATAAGTGTGCTTTAACGAAAAAAATACTATTAGTAAAAACATAAATTAGAAGAGACATTGCCTGTCTTGAATGTTACTCCTTTACTGTGAATCACTGGCAGATACATGGCAGGTGAATCACTGTTTAACGGAGTGGTAAGGTTACCAAATCAGGCATATTAACCAGTTTCGAATCTCAACGGGGATTATGAAGAGATTAAAAAGAGGTATAAACTGCAGTAGAGGCTTTTAAAGAGGTAGGGACAAGCGAATGGTAATGGAATTGTGAGGCTTTCCACTCTCTTCATTGTGGAAAATCAGCTCGTAATCTGTACGTCCCCTGAAGCAACCTAGTGGCTCAAACTCTTATTCGAATAAGGCAGGTATTAGGAACATACAGGATAATTAAAAAGTCCCATCTTCTTCAGGCAACAGAAGCCAGGGCAATTGAGCCAAACAAGTCTGAGTCACATGCTCAGTAAACACATATCTTTAATATTCTGAGTATAAAGAGAAAGTGTCAAATCCTGCCCCTAACTAACCCCTTAAATGTTGATTTATTGTTTTTCGTTAAAGTTGTGCAACAAGAATATCTTTGTTGAGCTATCAAATGCATTTGCAGCTCTGTGGTTTAGCGGTATAGGTTACATTGTTTCAATCTTAGGATGTTTGCAGAGCTTACATACTAGAATCCTTAAAAAAGTTACCATTACTCATTTCAAACCAAAGTAGTATTGAACCCATTTACTTGATTCAAACTTCTGAGCATATTCGACTTTAACTAGTGTCAATTAACTAAGTAGTCATCTTGAGTAGATGATCTTTCAAATGGCTACCTTGTGGTAGTGTCATAGACATTTTTCTAAGTGACCAGCTGGAAAGACTCGATTATATTAGAAAGGCAAAAATGAAGTGTATGTAAATCCAAACAATGTGTGAAATCTGTGCAGAGCATATAAAACTCATCTCTTAGAAAAGCAAGACCTCTGGCCCATAGATTATTGTATAAAAGGAAGCTTATTTTGCGGATATAAGCTAAGTTATCGACAGATTTAACGAAACTACAGCAAAAAGACGACCTAAACTGGATAAAATTATTATTTGGCGCCCACTGCAGAAAGCAATACAAGAGACGTTGCAAAGAAATGCTACGTTTTTTAGGGAAAAATGGCTGTTCTTTGCTTTTGCTCCTTGTCAAAATAGATTATCGCCAGTGGCAATAGTAAGACAATAATGCTTTTAACTACAATAAAAAAGAGTTATAAAACCACGGAATAATAAGAAGATATAAGGAATTAAAAAAATAATGCAGATAATACTAAGCAAGCAAGACTTATAAAAGTGAATATAAGCAACAAAATTACCGGTGGATCAAATGAAAGGACCTCCACATATAAGTGAGTCCAGTTATTGCTGCTGAAGCAATCTTTGAGATTATCGGTTCTGGAAGGCGGCCGGCGTAGTTAAGAATGATGTCAAGACCGCCAAGGTCCATAAACTCACTGATTATGTCGATATTGCCTTCATACTGGAAGGCGCCGTGGAAACCGACAAGGAAAGGTGAAATGCAGTCGTGGAGTATCTGATGTGGCGAGGGGGTGACAAAGCAGTAAGATGATGAGTTACTATTCTTCAAATGATACATCAGAGTTATATGCCAATTCAAATATGTTTAAAAATCTCGTAGTAGCTACGGACGCATCGATGCATCGATCATAAGAAGGATTCCATAAATCCCCTACTATGTCATTGCTCAGCCGACTTTCAGTTCAGCAGAAAGCAACAGATAGCAATTGTTGGCCTGTTGTGGTGCGACTAAAGTGGGGTGTTCAAGTTAATGCATCGGTCGGGACAACTTCTTTCCGGTCCGGTAAAAAGTGACAGGCATTCTTCTGTCATATGGTATACATCTTGAGAACTGAGCATCACTATAAAATCCCCATGCCAAGGCATAACGAGGAAAAGTATACCGGTTATTACTACTCCCTACATTTAATCTTAAAAGTGAACTTGAAAGAATCATACAATGAGTTCGTTAGTCTGCATCTCTGTATGTGTGTATGAGATTACTCAAGTCATCAAGAATTCCAAAACATAAGCTCAGGTCCGCCTGAATGAGATAAAGAGCATCATATGAAATCAGAATAGCTGAACTTATTTAATTAGGAATAAATATAATATGTAAACGATTGGGTTGCCTTCATCCTGTTGGCGCATATAACAATTCACTTTCAGCTTGGCTCACTGTTTCAACGCCTTACCTAATTTGTTGATGTTCGTAGCCTCTTTCATTTAGCACTTTGCAGAAGGAATTTCGTAACCAGCAGTGATAAGTTCAATGCCTTTCTATGTGATGTTGAATCCAGGAAGTGTAATATAAAAAATATCCTATAAATCCTGGCGAATTCCTAATTAAATTACAGTAGATAAATAATGTTTATATTAGAATCAACCGACTAAGCAATGTGAGTAGGATATATACTATTTTATTATAGAAAATAGTGCAAAGCAAGTCTTGAAGATTATGTAGAACGAAAGAATAAAAGCAAGCATTTTTCATCTCCTCGCATTGCTGAGAGCGGAATATTTTGAAGAGCTTGTCCATATCACGCAATATCAGGGATCTCCCAAACTCAAAGCTGCCTAAGAGGTGTAATTGCATGGCTAAAGTAATGAATAACCTTGCGAGAGGACTCTTAAAATATTAAGTTATATTGAGCTTAATGATTGAACGCTGAATACCTTACAGGCATAGATTAAGGTTAATTCGAAGTGTACAAGTCACTTATCAAAAAAGTGATCCTTTGAGCTTAAAACTCTTAGCTCAAATAGATTAATTGTTTTGATATTTAATAAAATAGGAAAATGCTAACATATCTGTGGCTGAGTTATTTAATAAAGAATCTCTTTCGCCGATGAGAATAATTAGCCCTTGACGTCTTTATCACAAATCCAGGGATTTAACAGCAGAAGAGATTTGTAACTATATTTAAAATGCAAATAAAATACTACTAAAAGCATATGAGTAGTATGTATTTAATATTAAATTAGGAGGTTTATCGATGCATTTTGTGCTATAAATCCGAACCTAACTTTGCCCTAAATTGATTTACTGAACAAATAGTGCTCAAATCTTATTGCAATATTTTAATAGCCTTTTCTCCCGAATGAATCTCTAGCAAACCGCCGAAAGATCGTGCCATCTGCGTTTAGATTGAAGTTCTGGCTGTCGTCAGTCATAAAGGAAATATGGAGTAGCGATTTTCGCAAAAATTTTTAGGAAAAAGACTTAAAGGAACGCACCTAGTCCGGAGTCCATTGTATGCACGATCACTTGCAAAGTCGGATCGTGGACGTGA